TCATATAATAATTTATTATTATTATAATCAACTAAAGCATTAAAAAAGTGGTATGAATGTTTTTCTAAATAAGTTTCAACCAATGATTGGTCGGAACAACGTGATTTCTTCATATAACGTGCAATGACGTTTTTCTTTAAGTTTTCGGTAAGTTCTTGATTTGAAAGAATTTCTTCTTTTTGTTGTCTGTTTTGGTTTGGTCTTTTTGGGATTAATAAAATTAATTTGCCATGTCTTTCTTCTGAATGGATATTATTAATCTTTTTTATTTCATTTACAGATACATTATATCTTATTGATAAACCTTGAAGGGTATCTTTTGGCAGAAGAATATGTTCAAAAATATTATCTTCGGAAATATCTTCATCGTCGTCTGCAGATGCACCCAAGCTACTATTAAGACTTGAACCCAAACCAATATTAAATTTTGAGTTTATTGATAAAAAACTTGAATATAAATTTTCATAAACTTTATTGTATTCTAAACTATTTTGTTGTTGTTGTTGTTGCTGTTGTTGCTCTTGCTGTTGTTCTATTTGAGGTTGACTATTATTGCAAATGTGTGTACTAATATAATCATTATTTAAACAATTGGAGCATATTTTTGTATTGCAGCAGCTTAATGTTGACAAACTATCATTCCATTGATTGCATTCCATGCATGAATCTAAATCCTCTATTAAACTCATTATTATTATTATTTATTATTTAATTATTATAAAATAAATACTAATTATTTATTTATTATTGTTTAATTATTATAATTTTTATTGAAGTGTAGAGGAAGAAAATGAAAAATTGAAAATTTTACATATAAATATATTATATATAAATATTAATAATAAATTTAAACAATTGTTTAAATGTGGATATTACGAAAAAAAACAAAAAAAAAAAATAATTTAAATTATTTATTTTTTTAAAAAAATATTAAATGGAAATTTTTTTTAATTTTACACGCGACCTGGGCAAACGTCAGTTTTTTTTTGCCAAAGGTTTTTTTATAATTATAATAAAATCTAATATTACTATTTATTAAATTATTTATGTTATTTATGTTGTTTATTTCTTTATTTATATTTTATTATAATAAAATAAAATTTCTTTATTTTTTTTTTAATTAATTGCAAAAAAAAATAATTACCCTATAATTAAAGAAATAAATATACATTTAAAGATTAATAATTTATAAATACACTGAAAAAAAAAAATAATGAACAATTGTTTTAATTTCTAACAATAATTTGTAACACCAAAATATTTTATTTAATTAATTTTATTACTAAATTTAGATAAAACAGAGTAATTAAAAAAAAAAAATGATATACCATTATTTTTTTACATTATTTTATTCACACGCTCATGCTGATATAAATAAACTCATACCTATTTAAAAACAAAAAATAATTATTGTATTGTTACAGTTTTAAAGGGATTTGTCGTAATTAACTAATGTGTTATCTATATTGATCTATTAAAATGGTTGTTGCAGTGTCTTGTACATTAATATCATAATATAACAAACAGCACTAATTATTTATTTTAATAGAACATAACAATAAAAAGAATATTAATAGTTAATAATATATTGAAAGGATATTACTATAAATACTCTTACTTTTTTAATCTGTTTAATCTTTTATTTATTATTTTTTTATATATTTTTTTTATTTTTTTTATTTTTTTTATTATTTTTTTCATTTCACCAAAGAGCAATATTAAACACCCCAACCACATTTTACACATCCCAAACAAATCCCACATTTTTTTTTTACCCCCACCATGATAATATTATTTTTTATGTTGATAAATATCCATAGCACACAAATAGATTTTACCATAAAATACAAATAAATAATAATAATAATAATAATAATAATTAAATTTATTTATATTGAGATCTCCTCTTCATAAACAGAAAATAATAAAAAAATAATAAAAAAAAAAAAAAAAAAAAAAAATCTTTTTTAATTTTATTTTTTTTTTTAAAAAATATAATTTTTATTTGGGGACCAAAAACCATTAAAAAACTTAAACCCTAAACACACAAACACCCAAATATTTATACACAAATAAAAAAAAAAAAAACCAACACAAGAAATTTAATCTGATAATTTTTTATTTTTTTATTTTTTTTATTCAATGTATTTTTATAATTAATAATAATAATAATAGTAATAATAGTAATAGTAATAATAATAGTAGTAACATTAGTAATAATAATTAAAAACAATTTAATTAATGAACGACAAAGTACTTTATATCTTTAAAAAAGAAAAATAAATATAAAATATAATTAATAACAAATACCCACAAAACACCTTATTCATCACCCTATTCACCACCCTAACCACCACTATTTATAGATCACATACAATACATACTATATTTGTACAATTAATATTTAATTTCATTCCACTTTTGTCCCTTGTATTTTTATTTTTTATATATTCATTTTTGTAAAGACATACATTTTAAATTAATTTATTTTCATTTTTGTAATTTTATAAAATAATAAAATAATTTTAAACACAACTATAAAAACAATTAAAAATAACATCAAAAATAAATTTTGTGTTATTGTTGCTTCTACTCTTTTTTTTTCAGTTTAATATTTTATTGTTTTTATAAAATTTAAATCTTTGTTTTTTTAAAAAGTTTTATTTTTAGTTTTTATAAATAATAATAATAATAAATAAAAACAATGAAAATTTTAAAGCAATTGGTTTTAGTTTTTTTAATTTTTTTAATATGCAATAATTATAACCATGTATTATCACATTCACAAAATAACGCTCAACCATCAATAAAATCAAATACATTATCTTCATCTTCTTCGACGTCCTCAACCTCCTCTTCTTCGAATGATGGGTTAGGTCCATATCAAGACTATGATTTCAATTGGTTGAGCAAACATTTGTCAACAAAAACACCATATTACAAATTGACAGAAGATTCAGATAATGATAGTAACAGTGGTAGTGCTGGTAGTAGTGAAGATAGTGCATCATCAATACCACCACAATGTAAATTAGTATCAATTGATCTTTTAGCAAGACATGGTTCAAGATTACCTGTAGAGTCATCAATCATTAGATTAAATCAAATGGCTGCAGATATTTATCAATATCAAGATAAAATTTCAAAGCAATTTCATTGGATCTTTAATTGGACCGTACCTTATCCAAAAGATATTGCAGGTAATTTAATTACTCAAGGTCAATTTGAACACTATAATATTTCAAAAAGATTATTAAATAAATATCCAGAATATTTTGCAAATATGAAATATAAACCACAAAACTATGAAATCTCTTCAACATTAGTCTCTAGAACTGGTATCAGTGCCTCCTCATTTGCATATGGCTTATTAGAAGGAACTGGTCTATTAGGTGGGGATTTTCAACCTGTTTTCCATCAAACTGCATCACTAAATGAAGATAAATTGCTTAGATTCTTTGACACATGTGACTATTATAAGGATCAAGTTAAAAATGGTACAATTAATAAAAATGAACAGTTAGTATGGCAGAATCTTACCTTTCCAAATATTTCAATAGAAATTTCAGAACGTTTGGGACTTTCAGAAATATGGATGCCAACCAACGGTATTGTTTCAAATATTATCGAATCATGTGCCTATGATATGTCTATTGGAAATATTAGCGATCATTGGTGCAGCTTATTATCTCGTCAAAACATTTTGGATTGGGAATATGCAGAGGATCTTTCAAACTATTGGATTAAAAGTTATGGCCACCAAGTAAACTATAAAATAGCATCACAACTACTTCAAAAAATGATTGGAGGATTCGATAAATATGTTAAAACTCAAGATAAATCTCTTTATAGAGAACCAATCAATATTTTAAGATTTGGTCATGCCGAAACTGTTATACCATTCCTCGCCTTATTAGGGCTCTATAAAGATTCAGAGCCATTGTTTGCTAATGCTACAAAAGAACAAATTGAAAATAGACTCTTTAGAACCAGTGTAGTATCACCATATGCATCAAATATTGGAATGTTTTTATTTGATTGTGCACCAGATAATGACACCAGCGATAGTAGCAGTGACTCCAATTCAGGTCCAAGCAATCATCACCTAAATTCAAAACATCGTAATTTCGAAAACTTTAAAATTTTAGTTGAACATAACGAACTACCAGTTTTAATTCCAGGTTGTGATGGCAAATATTGCAACTATGCAACCTTTAGAAAAATATTCTCAGATGTTATTTCATTTGAATGGAAATCATATTGTGATGTAAAATCAAGTCCAGTTCCACCAACCCCATCTCCTTCATCAACAGATAATAGTAATAGTAACAACAATAATGATAAAGAGTCAACTCATCATATAACACCAATGCTTTTATCAATACTTTTAATAGCCAGCTTATTTGCAGGTTTAGCTATTGGTGGGGTCACCATTTGGTTAAGTCACGATAAAATTAAAAAGCTCAGTAACAAAGGAAATGGTGTGACATTATACGGTCCTGACGAGCTTATTCCATCACCAAAATTAACTTCATCCAAGAAAAGTTCAAAAGTTTTTAATATAAACTCACCATTAATAGGAAAGAATTAAAAAAACTATTAAATTTATAATAAAAATATAATATAATAATTAAAATTTATATATATTAAATTCAATATTAATAATAATTATATTAAAAAAAAAAAAAAAAAAAAAAACAACTGCTCCAATTTATTACTTTTTTATTTATCTTTTAAATTATAAAAAAATCATGTTCTTTATAATAATTATTATTTTAAAAAACAATTATCAACATCTGTTCTTTATTATAAAAAAGATAGATTACTTTTCAAAAATAAAAAAGTATCAAAATCCCAAATCAGTTTTGATCAACGATTTTTTATTTTTTTTTTTTTTTATTATTTTTTAATTATTATTTTTTTCGTAAGATGTTCGAAAAATATACAAAAATGTTAATTCTATTAAAAGAATAACCAACAAAGCTCACACAACAAATTTTTATAATTATCTTTTATTTTAAAAAATAATAAAAATAATTATTTTTTTATTTTTTTTTTTTGATTAGTCAGATTGGTCTAAAAACCACATTTTTGCTAATATTTTCATTTATCCTAAAATTAAATTATAATACTTTTAAAATATATTAATTAAATTTAATGTAACTGACTTTTATATTAAAAATAATTGCAAAAAATTATTTGAATTTTTATTTATTTTATTTTTGAGATAAAAAAAAAAAAAAATAAAAAAAAAAGTATAAATTCACATTTTTTTTAAAACCTATATTATTAATTAATTTATTTTATATTTATTTTTAAAAAACTATATTTATTATTTATTTATTATTTATTTATTTATTTATTATTTATTTATTTATTTATTTATATATTCATTTGTTGATATTTTTAATGTTCTGAAAAAAAAAAAAAAAATGAAACTAATATTATTTTTATGCATTTTATTTATTAGTAATTATGTTTATGCCGATTTTGATTTTGGTAAGGAATAAACACACTTTAAAGCCATAAATTTAAAATTAGTACTAATTTTTTTTTTTTTTTTTTTTTTTTTTTTTAAAAAAACTTAGGTAAAGTGGTTTCTGTTAGAAAAGGTGATGATATAGTAAGAAGCTACTCTTATTTTGGAAATGAAAATGGTTTCTTGTTATCTGGTGGCTCAGTCAATGGTACTATTTCAAAAAACAATGGTAGTGCAGAATTTGATACATCAGTATTTAGATTCGATGCCGGTAATATTATTGGATATCCATCTTATAGTTGGTTTTATCTTCATGGCCATGCCTCTGTTGGACAAAACAATGCAAGCTTGGGTGCTGCCTCTCTTTCATCCGTTTTTATTCCAACCTTTATCGTAGAGTATGTTGACAATGGAAACAAAGAAGGTTTACAAATTGACGAGGACGAACTTGTTGGTTATGTTAACCTTGGAGCTTTAAAATACAAAACTGAAAAAACCCAAGAAACCTTAACTGACAGCGATGGTAAAAACTATACTGTTTTCCATGTAACTGCCACTAGTACTACTGGTTTAGTTCAATTTAACTTTACCATTTCTGACCATCCATCCCAAATTAATGGTTCCACTACCATCTCTGCTGAACAATCTAAAATTGATATTGCTATCAATGGATACTATGACGAAACTAAGAACCCAGTTGACAAAAGCTTAAAATGCAGTATCTTGACAATGTTGGATAGAAAATGTATTAGCACCGGCCCATCCGATAAAAACTCTACTCTTGCCCTTCTTTCATTCTATGCAGTTGACAAATTTAGTATGGAATACGAACACAATCATAACCACGGCCACAACAGCAATAGTAACGACAGTAGCAACGACGACAGTGAACATAATGATGATAGTGGCGATGATGAAATTAAAGTTGAAAACGAAGATGAACAAGGTTTTACTGCTTCATTCCAATGGGTTGGAACCGCAGAGGCCTCTTTCAATGGTACCGATGGTGAAGCTACTATTAGATGTTCCGTTCATTCAAATGTAACTGATGACGACCACGGTAAATTTGGTTCTGACTCTATCTCTGGAATTATTAAAGGCAAATCTTCCCACAAATTTATTATTTTCTCTTTCTTGAATGCTACCCGTCCATCAAGTGTTATCTGGGATCCAATCATTGGCGCCAACTCCATTAGCAACGGTACCAACAACAGTACATCAAGCACCGATAGTGATGGTAGTGATGCCACCAAAAATGCAATTCCTCTTTCATTTGCTTTATTATTTATGATCTTATCATTATTATTATAAAAAATAAAATTTATTATTTTTTTAAATTACTGTACATTTTTTAGAATTATTTGAAATTTTCTTTTTTTTTTTTCCTTTTTCCTTTTTTAATTTTTTATTTTTTTTATTTTTTAAGATTCTAATAAAAAAAAAAAAAAATTAATTGATTTATCTTTTTTTTTTAAGTTAATTTTTTTTTCCTTATATTTTTATTTTTTTTTTTTTTTTTAAAACTCAAAAAATTAAAAAAAATAAAAAATAATTAAATTAAATTTTTTATTTTTTATTTTTTAATTATTTTTTTTTTTTTTATTTTATTATTTTTTTTTCAACACTTAAATACACATAATTTAACACACATATACACATAAAAAGAAAAAAAATTTACTCACACACCGAAAAATAAAATTTTATTTATTATATTATTCATTCATTAATAAATAAATTCTCTTTTTTATTTTGTCAATTTAATTTTGTACATAATAGTTTTTATACAATATATTTTTTTTATAGTTTTTTTAAAAATAAATAGATGAATAACCCTGATCTTTATAGCTTACTTCAAGAATTTCAAAATAATAGTGTTTCAGATAATAATAGCATAAATAACTCACCAGCCAATAACAATACCAAAAATACTAATCCATCTGAAGACTTTACATTTGCACCACCTTATCCAAATAATAACAATAATAATATGACTCAAGAAGATAGAGACATTACTGAAAACAATTCAGATTATAATAGTATAGTTGCATCAGTTGGTAGCAGTAATAATAATGATAGTATCAATAATGATATAACAATTAACACTACTACAACAACTACCACTACATCTAATACTTCTCAAACCTTATCACCTGCTCATTCGCCAAGCTCATCTGTTGAACAACCATCCCAACCATCACAATCTCCACAAACATCACAAACATCACAAACATCACCAACATCATCTTTATCTAATGGCTCACAACCATATCAGTTACCAACTACTTTTAGCTATCCAACCCAACTTAAATCTCCATATTTAAATAATGCTTTTACTCATACAAATAGTATTAGCAGTAATAATAATAATAATAATAATAATAATGAAACTGTACAACAATTTAATCAAATTCAAAAGAATTATACCAGTATTGAAAGTATGCTTAAAGAAATTCTTACTGTAGTACAAGCTAATCAATCAAAAATTTCTGAATTAGAATCAGAAGTTAAATTATTAAAAGAAGAACAAAAATTATTATTAGAAAGACAACAACCACAGCAACAGCAACAACCACAACAATCACAATCACAACCCCAACAAACACAACCACAACAACACCAACAAGTTCAACAACCACAATATCAACATCTTGCTCCAAATAATGGTTTCCCACCACACTTTTCTGAACAACAACAATCACAACAACAATCACAACAACAACAACCACAACAACAACAATCACAACCACAACAAGTTCAACAACCAATTTATACATTCCAACCACCATTCCAAGTTAAAAACATTCCATTTACCTATCAACCACTTCCACAACAACCTCCACAACCACAACAACCTCCACAACCACAACAACCCCCACAACCACAATCTCCACAACCAAACTACAGCCCACAAGCAAACAATAGTCAATTTGTAAGAGATGGTAAGTCTTTAAAACTAAAGAAAATTATTGAAAAAAATTGTTTACTAATAATATTTAATTTAGCACCACCAAGTTTCCAACAACAACCACAACAACCAAATAACAAACCACCAGTTGGACAACCAATGGTAATGCCAGTTCAAAATAGCTCATTCATTTCCTCATTATATCCAGGCCCAGGTCAACAACAACCAGGTCAACAACAACAACAACCAGGTCAACAACAACCAAGCCAATCACAACAACAACAATATAGACCAGTTACATCATCACCATCATTAAGTGGTTCACAATATCAAGTTCAACAACCACCACAACAAACCAGACCAATCCAAACACCACAACAGCCAACATCTAGTGTTCTCCATCAATGCCCAATGTGTGGAAATAAATACCCAGAGAATGAAATTAATGCTCATGTTAATAGCCATTTAGATGAACCATCCCCATCTCCATCTCCACCACCACAAACAAACAACTCTAGAAGCGCTGGAGCTTTTTTTTACCCAGGACTTTCCAGAAAGAATTAAACATATTTAGAAAATCATAACTCTTTTTTTTAATCAACATCTTATACATATCCAAAAAATATGTATTTCTGTATAATTTTCATGAAAATTTAATATTCTTTTAATATATAATAACAATAATAAAATAAATAACTCTTTTTTTTTATATTTAAAAAAATTTTATATACATTATTTATTTATTTGTTTATTTTATCTTTTGCATCTGTTCATTAATTGCTTTTACATAGGTGCCGATATTTCGTCAAGACTTTTTAAATCTTGAATGCCCTTTTGAACTAAATCTATTTTTGTTTTAACTTGATTAATTCTTTTTGTTAATGTTTCTATTCTTGTATTTAAAAATGATTCCTTTTCATCAATAAAATTTAATGCTTCTTTTAAAGTATATCTAACATGCACACCTAATCCTATATTTACATAAATATATTTTGTATCTGGTCTAAAAAAAATAAATTAGTTTCTATATATAATAACAATATTATGGTAATAAAGAAAGTTTATATTATATTTACACTCTTGCTTTTGCATAACATTCCGAACCTAAATTTATCATTGTTTTCATTGACTCCATTTTATTTTCTTCGATTAACTCTATATTACTTTTTAATTCTAAACTGTTGTTATATATGCATATATATAATGTTAGTACTATTATAGTTTGTGGTTATTTTTTCTTGTTTCTATTGTTATAGTTTAATATTATTGTTTAAACTTACTAGTTTTCTAAATTTTCCATTATTTTTTCTCTTTCCCCTATAACCCTTTCCAAATCGACTTGTAATGTATCATTTATAAACTCTTCATAGTATTTAATAGACTCTATACGTTCTTTTTGTAGTCTTTGATCCTCTAATTGTTGTTGTTTTTTATTCATTGTATATATGATTATTCGTTTATTTGAAATTTGAAAATTAAAAAAATAAAAAAAAATGAAAAAATATAAAAAAAAAAATTTTAAAATTAAAAAAAAAAAAAAAATAATATGCTTTTTTTTACTTTATTTAATTATCCACACTTTTATCTATTTTGATTTTATTATTTTAATATTTTATTTTAGTATGATTAATTTATGTGGAGGTTTGGCTTCAATGTTTTTTTCTAATTTCAAAAAACCATGCCGGAATTTAATAGACAGGAGGTGTGTGGGATAAGAAATACCAAATCTTTTCATCTAGAACTATTTGACTATTTACCAAATTTGCTTGGCCAGAACAAATTCGATATTCATCAAAAAGCTGATTAGATTGAAAAGTTTGATTGGTGTCTTCTTGATTGGTTGCTGTAAATTGTGTTGGAATAAACAAATAGGCTACGATTGATAGTCCTTTTTTCCCGAAATAACACCATGTATATCTTCTACCTGTACTAACTTCGCTGGGGATTGGTTTGAACCAAAACTATCTTTTAAACCACTAGATAAAAGCATCTCCTTTTTGTTTTGATTCTAAATCATTGGTAACAAATATTTTAAATGGAGATAAATGGGTTGGAACATAAGCAATTGAATTGCACTAGGATGTTATATTTGAGTGAGGTGATATATTTTGATTCGGTAAAGAGACACCTGTTCACTTAAATAAGTATGGGCAGATTTTGCAGGTATTTGATATCTATTGGTTGGTCAAGCTATCTGAAAAATAAAAATTAAATTGGTTAGTTAATCTTTTCCATAATATTTTAAGGCACCAAATTCTATTTGTTATTGTTTTATGACTATATGATTATTTACTTACTTTCTGATTATTGTTTGAATCTGCCGTGTAAATTAAAAAATATAATACAGTGTTATAAAATAAATATTGAAAATTTAGAAATACAATTATTTAATTTAAATAATATTGGTTATGAGTGGTTATAAAATGGGTTGTGGGAATGAATATAGTGTGTGGGTATACAACAAATTGGTTTAATAGTAGAATTATTTTGGAAAAACAACAACAACATTATGAAATTTGAAGGGATTTTGATTTCAGCAGGAACGGAAGTGAGGGAGTTAACACCAAAACGATTTAGAAAAACAACTACGTATAGACAAAAACAATTTAAAGATAGCATAAAGGGAAAAAGTTATAATCTAAATATAATAAATATTAAAATATTAAAAAAGAGTTTAATATTAAATAAAAATATAAAAATATATTACCTTGGTTACTTTTAACTAAACAGAAAATAATATACATTCACCAAACTATAACTTGTATAAATATAAAGTGGTTACATAAAACCCCAATTATTTATAATATCCTTGTATCTTTTTGAGTGTTCAGAAAGGACGTTTTCACTTGCAAAATAAACATAGCTGCAAATAATAGAATGGGTATCTTTGTGCAATTTATGGTATGATTCGTGAAAACTTAGACTCTCTAACCCTTCAAAGAGATCTAAAGCTGCACACCGAACCATGTCAACTAATTCAACGTCATGTTTTTCTTTAATTATCCATACAATATTGTTATGGAGGGCCCTTGCAAATTCTTTAAATACTGATACAGCCCCTTGTACTTCATAGTGTCTATACATATTACATCTGGCAACGATTCTATATAGCTGTTTTTTATATAATCCAACAATTTCTATATGTTCTATTTTAATGTTTGGATTGAAATATACCTCAGCTAATATTTTTGAAACTATTAGACTACTAATAGCTTTAACTTCATCGGATACCTTTTCGTAATAAACAGCAAAGTTAACAACATTATTTATGAGGAGGTCAAGTTGTTGAGTTTCTAAACCTCTGAAAAAATTGCCCTTAGATAAACTATTATTAATGACAATTAATGCCTCCAAGAATTTGTTATTATTATCTTCTGAAACCAAATCGTATTTAATTTTTTCTAAAAAAAATGATTCAGAAAGATTACTTTTTTTGTTAATGTTGTTATTAACAATGCTGTTTTGTTGTTCCTGTTGTTCTGATTGTTTTGGTTGTTGTGGTTCATCTGGCTGCTGTGGTTGTTGTGGTTGTTGTGGTTGTTGTGGTTCTTGATGTTGTTTCTCTATCTGAACCCTATTTAATTCTAAAAAAAAGTTAGACACTACAATTATAATATATTATTACTATCTTATACCTACTTCTTTTTTCATATATCTCTATTATTTTTTTGATTTTATTAATATCGGCTTCAAGGTTTCCATCACCTAATAATATTTCCATACCGATATTTAAACTCTCTAATTTATCCTCATAAATTTCTATTAAAGATTCGAATAAAAATTTATATAATATAGCTAAGGAGCAAATTCTAAAATGAAAAATGTTAATTCCAATTTTATATAATAATAAATATATTTAAAATGAATTACTTACATTATAAAGAATAAAAAGGAGTATCCATAGCACATTGATTTTTCAATCAATGTATTGAATGAATGAGATTGGATATATGAAATTAATAATAAAAAAAATTCTACTATTAAACTATAAAAAATAAATTTCCAAAATAAGCTATTATGAAAATCTTTTGAGCTTTTAATTTTGGACTCCATATCCGCAATTTTGGAATCCATTGCTAAAAATTCTTCGATATTGTTTTTCTGAATACAAATAAAACTATGGTTAATATTTATTTCTTTTGTTTTTAATGTATATTATATATATAAAAGATACTTACTTTTTTTGAAAATGAAATACCCATTTTAGATAAATATGATATAACCCAGAGTGAAAGGTGAGGGTTAAATATAAAATATATATATATAATTATAAAAAATTATTTAAAAAAAAAAAAAAATTATTTAAAAAAAATTAAATAAAAAAAAAAAAAATAATAATTAAAAAAAAAAAAGTAAGCTAGCAAGGTTTGGCAAAGCTGTAGTGGACTGGCAAAGCTGGAGTGGACTGGCTACGAGAAATTAAGCTTTTATGGACACAATTGACTTGATTGATTTAGCTTGAATTAAAAGAATTTTTTTTAAAAAAAAACTATTTATAGAAAAGAGAAAAAAAAATTTAATTGAAATTTTTTTATTTGAATAATCTACAACTATTTCCTTAATTATATTTAAAATATCCAAACTAGGTATTCCTTTTTTGTACAATTAAATGTAAATCTGTAACAATCACATTTGGTAGTGATTAGAATTTAATAGCTATATAACAACACACCACATAAAAAAAAAATTTAAAAAAAATAAAAAAAAATTTAAATTTTTATTATAATTATAATTAAACAATTCTATATTTTATCATTTTATATTCTCTATTTGATATAAATGTTGGTGGGATTTTCAATAATCCCCTTTTTATTATAATAAATAAAACATATCCTATTATATATATCATTATTAACTGAATTATATATAAATGGCAATAATTTTAATATAATAATATTTAATTAATTATTTATTTAATATATACTTAAAAAAAAAAGTATTTACACAAATTTTTTTTTTTATTTATTTTTTTATTTATTTATTTATTTATTTTTATAAATAAAGTTGCATTGAGAATTTCTTTTATTTTTTTAATATTTAAATTTTTATTTAAATTTTTATTTTAATTTTTATTTTATTTTATTTTGTTTTGGTCATTTTTTTTTTTTTTATTAATTCATTAATTCAACAATTCATTAATTAAACAAATAATAAAACCAAAAAAAAAGTTTAATAAAAAACAATATAGTACAATTTCAAAAATGATTTTAAGTAAGAATTATTTATAAAAATTTCAACTTATATAAATGTATTAATTATTATACTTGGTTAAATTTATAAACGAACGTGAGTGTTGTGAGTCTATTTGGTAATGTGCCGGGTAGAACTACTTGGTTAAAACAATAAACGAACGTGAGTGTTGTGAGACTATTTGGTAATGTGCCGGGTGGAATTACTTGATTAAACAAATCACCGAGTGTGAGTGTTGTGAGACTATTTGGTAATGTGTTGGGTAGAACTACTTGGTTAAAATTTTGACCGAATGTGAGTGTTGTGAGACTATTTGGTAATGTGCCAGGTGGAATTACTTGGTTAAACCAATCACCGAATGTGAGTGTTGTGAGATTATTTGGTAATGTGCCAGGTGGAATTACTTGGTTAAATCTACGACCGAATGTGAGTCTATTTGGTAATGTGCCGGGTAGAATTACTTGGTTAAAACAATAATCGAATGTGCCGGCTAGAACTACTTGGTTAAAATTTTGACCGAATGTGAGTGTTGTGAGACTATTTGGTAATGTGCCGGGTAGAATTACTTGGTTAAATTTATAACCGAACGTGAGTGTTGTGAGACTATTTGGTAATGTGCCGGGTAGAACTACTTGGTTAAAATTTTGACCGAATGTGAGTGTTGTGAGACTATTTGGTAATGTGCCGGGTAGAATTGCTTGATTAAAACAATCACCGAATGTGAGTTTTGTGAGACTATTTGGTAATGTGCCGGGTCGAACTACATGCTTATAACGACTACCGAATTTGAGTGTTGTGAGACTATTTGGGAATGTGTTGGGTAGAACTACTTGGTCAAAATTATGACCGAATGTGAGTGTTGTGAGACTATTTGATAATGTGCCGGGTAGAATTGCTCGATTAAAACAATCACCGAATGTGAGTTTTGTGAGACTATTTGGTAATGTGCAGGGTAGAATTGCTTTGTTAAAATAATAACCGAATTTGAGTGTTGTGAGACTATTTGGTAATGTGTTGGGTCGAACTATTTTGATTAAATCACCGAGTGTGAGTTTTGTGAGACTATTTGGTAATGTGCCGGGTAGAACTACATGCTTATAACGACTACCGAATTTGAGTGTTGTGAGATTATTTGGTAATGTGCCGGGTAGAACTACTTGGTCAAAATCTTGACCGAATGTGAGTGTTGTGAGACTATTTGGTAATGTGCCGGGTGGAATTACTTGGTTAAAACAATAATCGAATGTGAGTGTAGTAATTGTGTTTGGTAAAGTTGTTAGAGTTAGCATTATAGAAGAACCGTGCAAATATAAATTTGTCAAAAATGGTGGATATTCATCTTTATCTGGTAGTGGATCACCACGCCAGTTAAGTGTTGTTATATATGATTTATCTTTAAACTTGCTATAACCTGATATATCAAGATCTTCAACACTATGTTTAATAAACTTTAAAATATGTTTATGAATTTCATTTCTTAAAAATATATTATTCCAAACTCTATATAATAATCTATAATAAATAGTTAAAAAGAGAAAAAACTAATTAATATGCTTTTAATTAATTTATTATTTATATTTATTTTATGTATTGTATTATATTGTATTATACTTACCTATCTCTAATATTATAGCTGTTTTCTAACTCTTCATTTACGCGAAAGTTAATTAGAGATGATAGTAGTTTATTCATTGTTGGTATAAAAATTAATGAATAAAATTAACATTTCTTTTTTATAAATTGAATTTTTTAAATAAAATGTAAAAAATTTTTTTTTTAATCCTTAAAGTTGAAGAAAAAAAAAATTTTCTTATAAATTTTTTTTAATAAATTTTTAAAAAAAAAAGCAAAATGTTTTTTTGTGACAATAAATAAAAAATATGATTTTGAGTTAAAATAAATAAAAATATTATTAAAATATTTATTTTAAAGATTATTTAAAATTTTATAGCTAATATATTATTTTTTATTTATATTCTTTGAGTTTTGGATTATGGAACACAATATTACAAAATTCATGGAGGAGCACTTTTCACTTTTTTTAGAACTAGCGAAGCTATAGGAAAAAAAAAAATAAACTAAAAATAGAGAAAAAATTAAAAAAATTCATATAAAAAATTTTAAAATTTTAAAATTTAAAGTGAATTTTATTTGGAATTTAATGATTCCATTTTTGATTTGCTGTTTTTGCAATATACATACATTTCCACCGCCGATTGGACTTAAAAATTTCTTTTGTGATAAAATAATTGATGATAATACTAAACCATCGGGATTTTATGTATTATAATAGCCAAAGCCCAACGTGTTGTGATGACGAAAAAGCACTTGATATTTCAACGCCATCCTCAAATGAGTGTATTGTTAATGCTATAAATGTCGTTATGGTTAATTTTGATTTGCTACCACTATTATTTGCTTCCCCAATAACTATAATATCACCTTCGTTTTTACTAATATGAATACCATTGCTGTTATTATTTGATGGGCTGTTATAGCAGCTTTACCACAATCTGCGCTTTCTATATCTATAATATTATCACTACTAGATTTATTTTTACCACTATCTTCATCGTCCTCTTGATCTTTAATATTTACATTACCTTGACTATCTTCACATTTATGATCATTGTGATCGTCATGCTGATATCAAGTTGATTTTCTTTTTTAATTTGATATTCTTCAAAGTCAATCTCCATGATTTTATTTAAATGATGAGTATTTGTAAATGATTGAGATGTCGCTAAAATTATTATTATTATTATTTTTACTATTATTACTATTGCTTTCATCTGAAATAGACCTTAATGCAAGGTCAATTGACTCTGAAACACAGTTGCATTTATATATGAAAAAAAAATTTAAAAAAAAAAAAAATTTTAATTAACTATTTTATATATTTCTTTAATTAAATGAAATAAATTAAAATTAAAGTATATCAATAAAAATTAAATTTATATATTTCTTTTTTTTTAATTTTTAATTTATATATTTCATTTAATTTTTTTTAATTTTTTTTAATTTTTTGCAAATTTCATTTTTTTTTACTTTTTTTTTTTTTTTTCATTTTTTTTTTCCATTTTGACAACATCAATATATTTAACAATGAACAAGATTAAATTTATAAATAACAATAGTTATACATTAAAGTTTTTAATAAATGAAATTAAATTATCAAACATAACATCAAATCAATCAAATGGTTTATTTAAATCAAAATCATTTCAAACCACCAATGCCATAAATACTAATAACATCAAAAGCTTTTTCAAAAGATCATTTAATAGTAAACATTCTAAAAATCAATACAACAATAAATTTGAAAATAATAATAGCAATAATAATGTTAATAGTAAATTACAATTTGAATTTAATGATAAAAGTTGGAGTAGAGAACAAAAAGAAAGATATTTCAATTCTACAAAAACTTCAAATATAATCTATGTACTCATTGGTATCAATACTGCTGCATTTTGTAGGTTCGATATTTTACTAATTATTTAAAAACCTATATATATACTAATACCCTTTTTTTATTCTATAATGATAATACAGTGTATATTAATAGTAATGATGATTATTCATTTCAACGTCAAATAGATAGAGGATTTTTGTTAAGTTTAGATAATTTTTTTAGTCAACCATTGACATTAATTACAAGTTTCTTTGCACATAAATCTTTTGGTCATTTTTTATTTAATATGGTTGGTTTATACACAATTGGTCCAATGGTTTTAAGTACAATTGGTGCATCATCATTCTTTGGTTTATATATGGCTTCTGGTATTGCTTCAGGTTTAGGTTTTCTATTTTTACAAAAATATTATAGAGACCAAGCCAATGGCCATAAATTTGACTTTTTTGGTAGAAATACTAATCAATATCAATATTCTTTACAACGTTCAAATCAAAAAGCATTGGGTGCTAGTGGCGCTATTTATGGTGTTATGGCAACATTTGCTTGTCTATTTCCAAAGGCAATTTTAAATTTATATGGTGTCATTCCAATTCCAGCCATTGTAGCTGTTGGTGGTTTCTTTGCTTATGACATCTACCACGAAGTATATAAATCAAGAACAGGTATCTGTCATATTGGTCATCTTGCAGGAGGTGTTTATGGTTTAGGATATTACTTTTTACGTTTAAAAGGAAGATATACCCATTAATAAACAACAAATAAACTTTAGTTATTTTTTTTTAGTAATTAACGATTTAAATTACAATTGGTTATTATTATTATTATATTTTTTTATTTTTTTATTAATAAAATATAATCTTTTAAATTTTGATAATTAATCGAACCTAAGCCACTTGCACAATCATAACCAGGTGTTGCAGAGTAACCATACTCGCAACAATAGACACCATTACATTTGATATTACCAACAGTGATATCATTGAAAACATTTGGTTGCTCGATTGCAGCTTGATATAGTAATGGATTTAGGAACCCTAAAGGTGATCTATTAGAGTTTAAAAGGTGGTCATTAATTAATGAAAAAATACCACCTGCAGAAGGAGCTGAACATGATGTGCCATCGACCGATGATAATTCGCATGGGCATTCATTCGATGATTGATTTACACTATTAGCAATTGAATAGCTATGACCTGCTAATGTTATGTCTGGTACTGCTCTGTTGGATGGATTGAATGAATATGATGGTGGCAATGTTGATGCCCCATTTTCGAGGTATTTCGAGACAGCTGATGCTTGATATGATGGCTGGGGTTGGGTTGCAGAAAATCCACCACCACTAACTATAATTGCGCCAGTGGTAATAGAGCAAACGATTTCCGGTTCGGTCATTGATAAAATTTGTGTAGCTCCTACTGATGTGATATAAGGCGATGAACCAGGAAACTCTAAATCAAATAAGCGACCAGCTTCCGGGTCAAATTCGAAACTGATAATTTTTAATTCGAGCTCTTCGTCATAATATGGAATTAAAGAGTCACACGAACAGCTTGTGTAAAAGTGTGGATTGTTTCTAGAGTCTCTATCGATTGTGGTGGTACATTGATCGTCGTTGTTTGATTCTATGAAGTTATTAATAGAATCAGAATAGTTTGAATTTAAAAACAAGTTAAAACAAGTATCATTACCATACCCCATTGGAAAGAAGCATTCGCTTCCATTTGACAATGATATTGTAATAGATGGACAAAATGTAGTCGTATATTTACACCCACCTAGAGGACAATAGTTGGAGGTATCTAATGGGCAATTACCACTTGATGAATAAAAACCAAGACACCCCTCATCACCACTGCTAACCAATATAGACATTCCCCGTAATCCAAGTTTTTGAAACTCTATATTTGTTCTGTTTATGTACCCGACCGAATCTATTCCAAGAGAGCTACAATTGTTAGGAACCACCGCACATACATCAAACTCGCCAAACCCATAACTAAGTGATGAAACTAAAGGAAATGGAACAAAAGATTGAACATTTAAAGCCCAATCTAGAACCCACTCGTCATAGGTTAATTGATAATATAGTGTTGTAATATTATTTCCCATTGATGATAGGTACTGAATATCAATATTTGGCTCTAATTGGTCACAACCTCCTGGTAAGCAATTTTCCATATTGTTTGTAATAATTCGTGATGGATTTAAGTTGTATTGTTGTTCGAAATACTCTAGTGCACCTTCACTATATACACTATGCTGTGACCCAACTGATTGAATATTGCTCAAATTTGTACCTATTTCGTCGCTAACTCCATAGTATTTCCTAATTACATCGGGTGTTATTAACATTGAATCATCTTTTAAATTTCTATTTATATTTAATTTAGTCTTTTTATGATCCTCAATAAAATCTGATAAACCTAAAATAAGATGAATTTTTTCACTAATTGATTCAGGAACCCATGCAGGACCATCAATTCTAATTCTCCTATTTAAAGTTCTAGTTGATATATAATCTGAAAATTTGGTGTTAAATAACTTTGATGCTTTCTTTACACTGGCTTCTACTTTTATATAATCTGAATAACATGTAATTCCGTTCTTTTCTATTTCATTATCAACTAACCAATTTAAAACATCTTGAATATCTTCTTCATTGGGTGCTATTATCGAATCAATTTCTTTTTCATTTAAAAACTTTCCATAGTTTTCTGATTTGGGTGATGAAATATCCCAAAATTTATCCTCTAAAATATTTAAATTTTTCTTTATTAATTAAACTATATTAAAATCTAATTTATTTATTTAAATTTTATAAATAAATATCACCTACTTGTTTTAAAAGAATTTTAAATTGAATAGTTTCGCTTTGTTTCGAATCTCCAATTTTCAAAAATCGGTTTGGGAAAGTTTCCACATTCGCTATTGTTGTTAATTTTATATTACTATTATAAACATTTGATGAAAACCCTATTGAAAATATAAAATTTAATATAAACAATATAAATATTTTTGATTTCATTTTATTTAAAATAAAATGAAAAAATTTTAGTTATTTTTATTTTCCAAAAAAATTAAAAAAAATAAAAAAATAAATAAAAAAATAAAAAAATAAATTTTTAGGTAGGCAAATACCATAATTAAAATTAAAATAAATTAAATGACCAGATTTAATTATTTACAAAGGTCAATAATATTTTTTATTAATAATATTTTTTACATTATAATAAATTATATATTTTTAATAAATAGAATAGAAAAAGAAACTTTAAAATGTATACATGGAAGGTCTGGTATAAAAGTAATTAATTTGTTTACTTGTGTTGGCTTCAACTTTATTTTCGGCTAAAGATAAAGTATTGTCGTAATTATTGTTACTAATGGAGCTAATTTTGTTTTTTGGTGAAGCGGTTAAAGAAATGATTGATTCTATAATAAAAAAAAAAATATTAATATAAATTTTTATATTTATGTATAAGGATAATTAATACTTACTAAATAACATTTTGGGAATAGAGTAAAAGAAAAATAAATAATAAATAATAGATAAGAAATAAATAATTAATAATAAATAATAAATAATAAATAAATAAATAAATAAATTATTGAAAATAAAAAATTTTAATAAAATAAATAAATAAATTATAAATAATTGTAAAAACTAAGTAATAAATAAATTAACTATAAATTATAAGTTTTAAATAAATAATAAAAATATAAATAAATAAATAAATTAATAAATATTAATTGACAGGAATCACAAGAGAAAAAGTTATTTTAAAAAAGTTAGTTATAAAAATGAGGAAATTAATAAAGCTTAAGTTTAATAAATAAATAATTAAATGATAATTGTTTTATATTTAAATAACCTTAAAAAAATTTTCTTTTATACTTTTTTTTTTTTTTAAATATTTGTTTTTTTAAATATTTGTTCTTTGATATTTTAAATAAATTAAAAGATAATTTCTTTTAAATTTTGAAAATCTTTTTAAGGAGGTTTGGTTGGAATTAAAATTATTTTTCAAAATAAAGCAAAAACCAAATATAAATAGTAAATGAATACTAGTTAGTTTTAAAACAAACCAACATGTACAATATAGAATTTTTAAATAATGTTTAAGAAACGAATAAATTAATTTAAATATTCAATTATTAAAAAACATTTGTATCAAAATACTCCCTTAAAAGTAATAGTGCACACCTTTAATTTCAAATTTTAAATTAAGAGTGTGTACTATCATTTTTTAAAAATAATAAATAAAATAAATAAAAAAAAAAAGTAATTAAATTTTAATAATTAATCTATTATTTTTTTTGAATCAATCGAAAAATTAATATAATAATATTTTGATCAAGATTTTAGATATTATTTTTCGATTATGAATATATGAATGAATAAATATATAATAATTTTTTAAATAAACTTTGTAATAATTTGACATAATTTAAATCAATCATTCCATAGGGAAATTACTTATAAAAATACTATTTTATAATCGTGGGGTAAAACGTAAAA